ATAATGGGTCATTATTAGTACGTTGTTTGTGTACTATGTTCAGAGTTGCTCAAGCATTCTGGTTTTCCTCCTCTTGCATTTTCTATTGGGATGAGATTTGCTTTACTATTAGCATAAGTCATAAGCATCCTGCTCTGTTTTTCAAGAAAAGGACGTAATTTTGGCTACAGCCATGTTCTCATTAGAGAAAATGAGGGTGGTTAATGATTAGAGTACAGAAGCAACAAAGTTCTTTTAGTTGCTTAGCAACTGAAGCTGGGGGTGGGGTGGACAGAGACTTTGTAAGCAGTGGGGAGGAGAAAAGCAGAGAAGTGTGAAAAATGAATTTAATGTCCAGGTCATTCCCAGGTGGCTGAAAAGAGATTTATATAGCTCTGATTTATAGCTATAGCTTATTTGTTACATGACTGGAAAATGAAATGAAATATTTTGAAATTCGGCAGTGGTAAGTCATAGTGGACATTTATTGTAACGTGAGGGAAATGTAAACTGTTTATTTAACACGTTGATTGCAAATGAAATACAGGAATGGGTTAGAAACCTGTCATGCTGCAGAGACACTACTGCCACCATGTGGACAATGCTGGGAGCCTACAGGGAGTTGAAGGATGAGGGCGGGCATGAGAGGCTCCATCTCTGAGGAATAAGGTAGGAATCTTCAAACGGTTTTGCTCGTGTGCCCCTGAGAATAATTTTGAAAAAATCTGGCACATTTTATGTTGGTTTGTAAAAATTTTAATTATGAGTTTAAATGGCTGTAACAAATATAATCTCTTGTGGTTTGTGAATGTTGGCATTTAAAAATAAAACTGCTATATCACTTTTAAATGTATACAATGAAACCTAAATACCATAGGGATTTGATACACACCATCAACTATTTTACAACGACATGGCTATTTTCAATGAGTAATTGTCACATAATTCCCTTTCCTCCTTAAACTTGTATTTGAATTCCACTTCCCCAACAGACTTATACTATAATGTTTTATACACACACATATATGTTCTTAATATATAATTTTATATATACTGCATAATACTAGGTATCTATAACATATTATATATATTTCTTTGTAACAAAAATAAATTATAAATTTAAATTATAAAATTTTTATGTGACTATAAGCCTTTAGTTACCTACATATTTTTTAGTACACAATTGATCAAAAACATATAGTAAAAATGTTGATCAATAATTATTAAACATTAAAAAGTTATGCTTGCTTTATTTGTAAATCTATCCCTTAGATTGATGAAGCTTTTAAAAAATTAGTTTACATATCCAAGATGAATATTAATTATTGTAGAATGAGACAAGGGTCAGCATCAATACCATTTATATTTATCATTTTGTCTGGTTGTAAACCTCAAGAAATTTTATTCACAGAAATAAGTACTGGGAATACAAGAAGTTTTACTTCTTGAGAAATGTTAACTCAATTTTTTGAACAATTTCAGAGTCACTTACCCAAAATGACTTTGTATATTTTTAATAATTTTCCTTTTTTCATAATCACTGGACATCTGGACTAAGTTTTGCCTTAAGGTTGTTGACAGCAAAAGAATTGGAAACCACTGGACCTGCAAAAGTGTTTGGTACCTAGTCATTAGAATCATTTATTTACTCTCTCAGCACAGATACCAATATTTCATATCATCCCTGTGATGAATGTTTCAGAGATTTTACACCCCAGAGAATCCACCTTTGCAATCTTCAATTGCAAGGGAGGTAAGCTCTTCTTTTGTGGTGGAAGAAAGAACTTAGAGAAAGGGGAGCTGGGAACGGAGAACTAGTTTAACAGTTGAGCAGAGATTACCTGGGCAAATAAATTTTAAAAATAAATATAAATTGAATTTGAAGATATAATGAAAACAGATTCCCTTAAAATTGTTTTAATGTGTCTATCCTTTGAAAGGTTTTTGCACACCCTAGGTTGAAATCACTGGTTTATCCCAAAAGCCATTCTATGAGGAAGCTTTCAATAAGTCTGATGCCAAATGGGGTTGTGGTGGTAGGGGTCCTAGTTAAGTTTTCAGTATTGGATTTACTGTTTAAATAACTTCCTTATTTTGCTATCATGTCTTTTGTACCCCCCCCCCCAAAAAAAAGATGGTGCTAGGAGATGTTAATAGTGATTCTGAAAGCCTCGATTTTCTTATATCACGTGTCGGCCATGCTATATTGGTTCCATTATTATGCTTTTTAAATTGTGCCTAATTTAGGATAGCCTAAATTAGGCTGTGGTAGCAAACAACCCCAAATCTCAGTGACTTGAAAGCAAGTTTTATTTCCGCTCACGCTACATGTTCATTGCGGGTTGGCTATGCCTCTGCTCCTTGCCCAAGACAGTGACAGAGCAGGCCCCAGCTGGGACAGACATAGAATGCTATAAGTGGTCTCTCAAAGCTTCTGCTTTAAGGGGATACACATCACTTCTGTCTACATCTCTTTAGAAAAATCAAATTTTTGGTCTTTGCTGAGTTCGACATGGTGAGGATATTCAAACTTCCCCCAGGGAGAAGCAGCAGATATTCAGGTCACTATTATAACCTACTATACCTGTGGAAACCCCCAATCTAGGAACCATTGGTTTATAGTAAACAGATGGTTATAATTTTCTAAAGTTACGTTAAAAATATTTATTTTAATTTTACAAAATATTTCCAACATACAAAAAAGTAGAGATTAATATAACAGACACAAGGATTTATATCCCAAAATTCAGACCCTTTTGTTAAAAAAGAATTATATTATATTCTCAAAATATTGTAGATACAGTTGACGCCCCCTCATTAACCCCATCCCATTCCCTTTTTAAACCCCCTCCTTTCTAGAAGTAACCCTATTCTGATGCTAGTGTGTATTGTTCGTGTCACATATCTTTTTACAACTTACTTTTTCTACTCAACATTCTATATTTTATACATATCCACGTTGCTGCATATAGATCTAGTTATTTCATTTCAACTATGCCATCGTAGAATACTAAATGAATAGATAACAACTTATTTATCCATGTTGTTGAAACTTTAGGTTGTTTATAGCTTTTTACTGTTACAAACAATAGTATAATTAACACTTTTATATATATATCTCTTTGTGTACAGGAGTTTCTTTAACATTTATGCTCTCAAAATTATTGAAATGCTTCACCAGAGTGGCCTTGCCAGGTTGAAAAACCTAATTGCTTTTACACACTAAGGTGGCGCTTTATAAATGGAGGCTCCAAAGGGCCAGATAATCACAGGAACTGAGACTGTGATCCAGTCTTACCTGAAACAATTTTCTTTGTAGATAGAGAGAACCAGAGACAGCTTCCTGAGACTTGCGTTGGACCCTCATAAAGCAGTAGAAAGTTTTTCTAGGGGCTTTGCGTGGCATGGTGAATGTGGGACTGAGAGCCAGCAGATCTGGAGAAGCCTCGTGTTTGGATCAGGAGCGCCCAGCAGGGGGTTCTGGGGGATGGACTTGGAGTCTGAGGAAGTCACAGTGATGTCAAAAGGGATAATAGGAACCAAAGAACCGAAGGGAAATTGTACATCTCAGCTGATGACAATTGAACAGATAAGGACCGAGAACCAGTTAGTCCTTTCCCCTGGCTGGATGTCGTGTGAGTGCAGGAAGGAGGTAGTGCTGTATTGAAACTGCTGTTGCAGCCAGCATCCACGTCCTGCTTTTTCCATTCTAACATAACCTCAACGTTGTTCGGGTGTCAAGTCCCCCACCTCCCCCAGACCTCACGTGCGTCAGGTCCAAGGATAGGTCTTTAATTATCTTTATCTTTAGGATTATCTTTATTCCATAAAGATCTATCTAGATCTAACTGGTCTAGAAATGGACATGTAACCCAATTTGGGCCAATGAGAACTGAGGAGATATTTTCTGGGGGATTCTGAGAAAGTTCTTTCTTATTCCTCTGGAAGAACTTCCAAAGAGTTGTTTTTTTCTCTCCCATTGAACTTGACTTGTGTGGGACTGTAATTGCTGCAGCCTGTGGATAAAACGGACATACAGAGTAAGACAAAACAAAAGGAATTGGAGCGAAAATGAGCTGGAGTCCTTATCCTACCTCTGTGCTTTTAGTGATGTGAGTCAACAAGGCCCTTGATTGTTTAAGCCTGTTTGAATTATGTTTTTAAATACTTGCCACTAAAAGTACTCCAGCTGTTTCTAGAGAGTAACAGCGAGTGTGTGTGAGTGTGTGGAGTGGGAACTGAACTGACTGATGTTATACTGATTTGACTGAGTTTAACTTCTTCCACAAGGTAGAATGAAGACTTAAAATAGAAATTAATTTCAATCACAGAATATATACAGGCAGCCTGTGCTTTGCTGGTTCTGATACGCATGCATGTCGTTATTGTGGTTTAGTTAGATGACACTGGTCCTCCAATAACATGGTTCAAATTTCAGTTACTGTGAGTAATTGCATAAAGTACAAACTCTGCTGCTTCTGTCCACAAGTCACTACATAAGTAACAGATACCCATCATAACCAATGACCAATCATGTCACTTCTTTCAAAGTCTGTTGTTCATGCCCAAAGTCTGAGTGTTCACGCAGGCAGCAAAGCATGGAGTCACGTTGCCTTTATCACATCTCCCAGTGATAAAGAGACATGATATTTTAATAGGATGAGCAATCTAAAGAGAGAATTGGCCAAGAAAGATGAATGTGAAGCAAAAGACCAGAAAGTGATTATGTTGGAAGTGAAATTGGAATGGAGCATAAATGTAGGTAGAGAAGAAATCACTGAGAGTGGGGATATTGACACTGCTACCATCTGAGAGGCTCTAGATGCACGGGCAGAGGAACTTACTGAAGGTGAACTGACCAACCTGAGTGAGGAAAGGGTTGCAAAGAAACAGACGAAGACAGCCCAGAGGAAGTGATGCCTGCAGAACCTACACATTAAATGAATTCTTGGAGATATCTTATGGAATCAAAAGTACAAAGAATAAAATGTTGGAAGCTGATCCAAACTTAGAAAGGAGTATAGTTCACCAAGACACAGAAAAGATGCTCAGTACCTATTGTGAGTTACACAATGAGAAGACAAGTACTCTTCAGACTACCCTTGGTAAGTGTTTTACAAAGAAATGAAACACTTTAATTCCAATGTTTCTAATATTTTCAATTATATACTAAATAAATACTAGTATTGATATTTTTTCATTTCCCTAAATATTTATAGCCAATGTTAAGAGAGTTTCTAATGTTTCAATATAAATATTTAAAGGCCACAGAACAATTGTGGTTATACATCCATGCCTTTGCACTGATCACTCCCTTAGCCTAAAATATCCTTCTCTCACCCCATTTCTCGTTCTCTACCTGGTGATCTCACATGCATCTTCCAAAACCCAGTTCAAGTGTTAAGATTGCTTTGCACACTTTCAGTTTGCATGGTCATTTTTATAGTTTTGCATTATTGTGTAGAGAGGACTGCCGGCAAATTAGAGTTAAAACTTTCTGTGCACCCAAGTTTGTGTTCTATACAATTCATAGAACTGGAAAATTGTGTGGGTAAAGTATTAGATAGGTTTGTATGGACTATGCCTTCAACATTTTGCGAAAACAATTTGCCTTAGGTTTTATAAGTGACGTGGTATAGAATGTGTTGGGCTGGGATACTGGGAGTCATGTGTTCTGGTCTCAGCTCTGTGGATAAACTTGTGTTCTATACAATTCATAGAACTGGAAAATTGTGTGGGTAAAGTATTAGATAGGTTTGTATGGACTATGCCTTCAACATTTTGTGAAAACAATTTGCCTTAGGTTTTATAAGTGACGTGGCATAGAATGTGTTGGGCTGGGATACTGGGAGTCATGTGTTCTGGTCTCAGCTCTGTGGATAAATTACTGTGCAGTCCAGAACAAATCACTAAACTCCTTGTTTCTATTTTCCTCCTCTGTAAAATTGGTGCACAAATAAGGTAATTTTCAAGGTTCCTTTGGGCAATAAATTTCTATAATTCTCTATTATTAAAGAGAGAAACAGTGAGTGGAATGCCCCCTCGCGCCACACTACTTCTGTTTGCATAGGACAGTAAATGTTTATTGAGTGAGTAAATTGTTAGCATGACTTTGGTGGGATAGGGCTGTGCATGAAATATTTGATTCTGGTGAGAAGCTGCTGTTCATTGTGCTCACTGTTTTCGTGGGGCCATTGTATATTAGGCTACAGCTACCCCAATAACTCAGGGTGCACTGTTATGGATCCTTCTTCAGCTTGGTCGATCATTTGTTCATATACTCACTGAGCACAATAATATGGCCCTAATATGGTGAAAAAACTCAATTCCTGCCTTGGAGGATCTCACAGTATGGTGGGGAAACAACTTTCTGAGAGGCAAATTTGAACTGGATTTTGGAAGATGCCTATGAGATAGCCTGATAGAAAAAGAGAAATAGGAGTGGGAGGAGGACCTCTTAGGAAGAGAGAATGGCTGGGGCAATGACATGGTTGCATCAGGAATATGAAGAAAGTGAGCACTGAGGGGGAAGTGATTGACAGAGGATGGGTGGAGGAAGAGGAAGGAGAGGTGGGAGATAGGACTGCTGGGTTCCATGTAGAAATTAGAAAACAGTCTAGGTATTTCTAGCAGGAAGTATGAGACCACTGTCAATATGCCAGCTGGTGCACAGTCCTGGTCTAGATAGTAGATAGTAAAGTATTGGCTGCTGCAAAAACCGAGTCTGCTGCAGTCTGTGCATGGGTTGCTTTTACTGTAACAGGAAGAACAGCCTCAGCTTCCTTTCTATCTACTAAATCTTGCATGAGTGTATCTGACTGACAAAATCACATTTAGAACCTGGTAGCAAGGGAATCTGGGAAATGTAGTTTCCAGGCTTCCAGCCTCTATGATAAAGAGAACTTAGAAGGGGAGTGGAAATGAATGTCGAGGGTCAATAGACAACACCTTGCACAGTGGGCAAGGCGAGTTGGAACCAGACTGAGGGACTGGAAAAGCATGCAGAAGAGTCAGGAAAATGTGGCATGGGATGCCACTGAAAAGTTTAAACGCAGGATTATCATGATTCCATTTGTTTTATAAACATGAGTGGCACCATAGAGGCCATTCTTCTAAACTAAAAAAAATAAAAATAAAAAAATAAAACAAGCTATACCACAATTATTTACCAGATAGTTATTATGTACCTGGAACTAGGCAATAAAAAAGCCCTCTAAGGCTTTTTGTTTTCTAAAAAACTGTGTGTGGTAACTCACACATCCAATATTCAACCCCCAATTTTTGGTTGGGTGCACATTTTGTGGTGAGTGCTGTGAATAGACAGAAATCAACTATGTTCTCTGTCTTTAAGAAGCTAATCTCAACTAGTCCTTTTTCTTTTCACTGAAGAGTAAGAATGTTTAAGAGGACTGTTTGGAGGGTTAATTTATAGCTTTCCCAAGTAGCTTCTGCTAGTCTTGTAAGATGCCCTAAAAAAAAAAAAAAAGATTCCCTAGTGCCCATCACGCAATGCACGTGTTCGTGGGGAATCTGGTGCTAAGCCACTCATAGATGACCTGCTTCTGGGTCAAGGTTTCATAGGTAGCAGAGCAGCTCCCTCGCTACGATCTATTGAAAGTCAGCCCTCGACACAGACACAAGAGTTTAAAACTTTTAAAGAAACTGAAGATTTAAAAAGAAAAAAAAAAGTCCCGTTTTTTAAACAGCAATTCAACCAGTTTTTTAAAAATACATACTCATATACAATATTTCTTCTTGTTGAATTTAAGTCTCTAAAAAATCCTGTAGTAAAAACAAAACAAAAACTGTTTAGTTTTGCTTTACCAGTGTTACCCACTTTTTTTGCACTCAATGTCCATTGACAGCCGAGTCCTTCAGAGCACAGCTGGGTGGATGCTTGTACAGAAGAGCTGATCAGACTGAAACTACCAGTGGGCTATCTATAAAAAAAAGCCCCCAGATGTGAGAGAATAAAAAGAAGAAAACCATTTTAGCTTTAGGTATGATTTCTAAATTTCAGAGGCATTTTCAGGTCAGAAAGGACATTAAATTAATCAGATGGATCTCAACACTAAAAACAAACTAGTAGCTATCACAAATTTCATTGCTAAGTATGAAATATTAAGTGCCGTAACAGTCATCTAGAAAAATGCAAATCCTGGACAGTAGGAGCTTTACAACTATTGTAACAGGATGTTAAATGGTGATCTTGGCTACAGCACTGTTATGGGAACAGCTGTATTCCAAAGGCACTGGGCTCTGCAAAATTGTTAGAGGTTTTGCAAAACTAGTGCACAACTATTGAATCCCTTCACCCAAGAAGACCATGAAATAGTTGAGGGAATGGAAATAGAAATGGATTTAGTGAGGATTTCTTTGTTGAGTTACGCTGTGATTCCTTACCTCTGCCACACAAGAGCCACCAAGGGGAGGCATTTAGGGTGTTGCTGGCCTCACCTTTCCTGCAGAGGTTGGTGTGTTCCAGTTTCTGGCTCGCCTGGGGGATCTATGGGAGATGGGTGGCCAGCAGCTTTGGCAGTGGAAGGAGGGAGAGGCTCCTCCTTCTTCTTGGCCCTGTCTTCTCTCCTAGAATCAGGGCAAAGGGCCCTGGATATGGATGGGAGATAGAGTGAGCCTGGCACCATTTCAAATCCTGCCTAAGAGTCTATGTGAAGTGGACGGCAGGAAAACCAGAGGCTGGGGGAGAGCAGCAGCTGGAGGAAAGTGTACTGCCTGCATCACAGGAAGTTCAGGTAAATGTTCCAAAGATGAGGCCTCTGAAGAATTGTCTGTGTGAATCAGCTCAAACATTTGCCAGTCCCACCTCACAATTTAGTAGTCGAGACTGACAACACAACACTGATGACTCTCTGGAGCTTTAAAGAGCTGGGGGAAGTCAGATTAAGTCTGCTTGGAGGTTAATTTAAAAGTGAGGGTTAACAAGAGAATTTGGCTTTGAATTAAAAGTGAGCACTTGCTAGATTGAGATGCATTTAACCTTTAGGATACTGTGAGAAGTCAGGGAGTTGGTCTGCATTCACCTGTGATTCCTATATTGGATAAGCATCAGAATCATCTGGAAGTTCCAAACCTACAGTGATTCGGACTCAGTAGAAATCAGAAGCTCAATAGCATGTTCCGACAACCCTCCCAAGCTCGCATGTAACTCTGATGCAGGAAGTTCTGGCATTTGGAAACCACTAGAAGGGCTCAGCACAAATATCTGACTTGGGTTTCTGAGGGCCTGGTTGGCCATACTGCAACTGTTCATGGTTTTACTGAACAGTATGCGAAGAAAGCCTACCACAAAATACAACCCATATTTCTTACCAAATGAATTAATTTTTATTGCTATTTTATAAAACTTAATATTTTTCTAAAAAAAAATCAGTTTACATGTAGTAAAGTTACTAGTAGATAGCTATAGATAATATAGCCGTTAGGAAAAAGAGCAGAGCTAAATAATATGAAAACAAAAGCAGTAAGCCACAATAAAATTAATACGTACATCAAACTAGCAGTGCAATAAGATAAGCAGAAAGCAGCTTTACATTTAAAAAAAGTTATTTAAATACAGAAATAGCACCTTACAAAAAAGAATTGAGAAATGTAAACTTGGTAGGTAGATTCAAGTATAAAAGTTATACCCCCAACTCTTGTACCAGAATGAAAGGGTTTCATAAACCCTGGACAGTGTAGGGCACACGCGCCCTCAGTGCCAACTCAAAGATGCATTTCCTTACCAGGATCACCAACAATTATTTTTTTCTTTTACTAAATTATACAATGATAGACTCAAGATTGCCATTGCTTCTTCACTACCCACAATATCCAAGTGTAGCTCAGCAACTTTGCTAACATCAGCTGTTCTGTAAGAAAGATTCATTTCCCTGACAGACACAAACACTGCATTATTTTACATATCATAAAGCCACGTTGAGAAGTGGGTACTGAACACAAAGGTATTTTTTTCCTTAGTTTTCTATTGCTAAGTATGGTCATAAAGTCATAATATTCTCATTTATGGGATTGCTTCTTAACACCCCTCAAGAACCATGAATTCTCTTAGGTGAATATGGTCACATCACAAACAACACAATAATAATAGTAATAAAAAAGGATAGCAAAAAAGTTAAAATAAATGAAGAATATCCAGGAACAGTCAGGGGAAACCAGTTTGTGTTTCCATCTAAATGAAGATGTCTCTGTGAAAATATTTGGTGGAAATTCTTAAGCATGGTAGATTTAAAATGCACATACCCTGAATAGATTTATATGTTGCGTATCCTGCAATCTACCTGAAAAAGGCATATTTTTATTGGGAACCCATCAGTGTTAGTTCAGGGTACTCATCACCATGCAATTGTTGACGACCAGAACAACATTTTTAATCTAACTCTAGCTTGTAAAAAAGGGAAAAAATAACATGTTATAAACTTTAAAAGTTTAGTGTTGATAAAAATTTTACATAAGTAGCAAATTTATTTAATCTGACTACCTACCTCAAGTTTTCAAAATCTTGTGGGGGTAATAAGGCTAATATTATCCTGTAGTTAATATAAAGCTACTTTACTCAGACTCCCAGAGTCTCTTAAATTATTATTTTTATCTTTTCATATAACATTTTACTGGGTCCAAAAATAAAAATAAAATAAAACACTGTCAAAATTCTAAATCTAAGATAGAAGTTGAAAGAGAGACAAGAAAAGGAAGAAGGAAATAGGAAGGAAGAAAGTCACTTACTCTGAACAGACAAGAGGTAAATATCAATAAATCTAGGAATACAAAGAACTAGTTTGCTACTTAATGTATCCCTAAAAGTAATAAGGTTTAACAAAGGGATATTGCATGATAGTTTCTAGAATTTTATCTGCTAGAAAAATGAACCCCTGTACTTACCTTTCTTATTTTTCAGAAGTACCATATAACTCTGGTTTGAATACTCTTGGATATGGAACACAATGTGTCCATTTTCCCTCTTACCCTTCCAAACATGAAGAAAAGAAGTAAAAGAAAAATAAAAGAATCACCTATTGCCTGATGTCAATTTCTACACCATTACTCTTCAGAATTCAACCAAAAGGTCTCATCCAGGTTCCAAATTTCCATATAATTTCTACCATCCTGATTTATTTTATAAATAGCAATTGTTAGAAGGCATCCATACCTGGTACCCTATAGTTAACATTTAAATAAAAAACACAGGGCATGTAGTGAAAGAAACAACACAGTAGGATTTTTATAAACAGTAAAACCTCATTGTTTACACTGTTATTTGAGAAGCAGCTAATAAGCTGCTAGAGTTCTTCTTAGTTCTCATGCCCACAGATAAGGTTAGCACAGTTCATTTATAGCAAGGTGTGTCATTCACAGTTATTTTGGTCTTGACATTTGCCATGTATATACATTTATCCACATTATTACTAGGTTGTAGAATAAGTGCAGGGCAAATTATAAAAAAAAAAAGTACAAACATTCAAGTCGTCATACCCTGAAAAATATGTGTTAGGCTGTAGCTGTAAACTTTTTGCACTAAATCCCATTTCAGGAATAAAATAAATAAGACCATAGGATTCACAACTGAAGGTGGCTTCCCAACGAAGCCTAAGGAAGCAGTAGCTTTTTTAAACTGCAGAAAGGAAGTTTCTCTCACCACAGATTTACACAGGGCAAGTGGAAATACGTGTCAGGAATGCTTACCCTAGTTAAGTGCTAGACAGCCCCCTCCTTTAGAAAAACCACAAGGCTCCAGTAGACTGTTCAGATCTACTTCCAGCAATAAGATGATTCTTGAATCAAAACCATGAAAGTCAGTCGGTGCTTTCACTGAGACACCATGCAGAGTCTGAACTCTACCTGGTATTAAATGCACAATTAATAATAACTACTTTAGGAGAATAGATATTCATGATGGTGGGAAGTTAACAGAACCAGTGGATGAAAGAGAGAGGAAGGACGCGTGCTGACGACCAGATGGTTTGCATTCTACTTAGAACATGGCCTGCAACACAGGGGAATTCAGGAGGCTTGATCCCACCCCCACCTGGCAAAGCATCAGGTTAGTCAGCCCCACTGCTGGGGATTTCTAGCCTCCTCTGGGCTGAGGTCGTGTTTCGTGACTGATTCCTTTCTCTTCTTCTAAGCACAGGGTCTCTGACACTGCCAGGTGTCTTGAAAAATGTCTCACGATGTGCGCATCGGATGCTCTTGGGGGTCACTGGAACTGCTGACTGAAAAAACGAAAAAAAGAAGAAAAACAGAAGTGAGGTCCAATTGTTTGCAATCTCTGTACTGGAAACCCTTTCCTGACCTGTGTCACTATGATCCCTATGCAGGTGTTCCCACCTCTTAGCTTTTCTACCACACTCATCCCGATGACCCCTTTCACAACTCTATCTCAACTGCAAAGTAAATTCATAATTATTTTGGGTGCAGAAAGGCAGCCTACCAAAGAGTTTACAAGAGTGGCACCTGAAGCCAGTTTCTGGGCTCTGTCATAATTAGCTGTATGACTTTGGGCAAATTACTTAAACCAATCCGTCCATCAGTTTCTTCATCCATGCAATGGGGAGGAGAAAAGTACTGACTTCACAGGGTGGTGAGAATTAAACGAGACAACATTTGTAAAATGCTTCAGAGCATGCAAGGCAAATAGTAAGTGTATGTGTGTTGGCTCTTTTTGTTTACTTGCTAATGTTTACTCTCTCATGTTAAATGTTAAATATTTATCCCCTTAGGTACTCTAAATTGACAGGAACCATTATCCTGTTTGCTGCTATATCTTCACTGCATGGCACATAACTAGTGATCAAAAAGCATACCTTATGCTGTAATCATCTTGTTTAAAAACTAACATGTTTATTTCAATGTCTAGCAAATTTTTGAGCCTCTGAATAACTTGTCTAAAATGTTTTTGGCCAAACACAATTCTTTCTCTGGGACAGTAAGTAATCACGCTAAACAATGCCTAATGTATCACCAGAATTCAACAAACATTTATTGACAGAACTATAGATGGAGTTTGGGGGACGAATGCAGTACTGATTAAGTTATATTGATTACATACCTTTTCGTATGTACTTTTTATATCTTTTTTGAGTGTGTGTGTTTATGTGTGTATATATTTGAGGGTACTTCAAAAAGTTCATAGAAAGATTTGTATTAGTTTTTAATTCTATTTTTCCACAAACTTTTTCAAGTACCCTTATATATCCACTGCCTCCTAAACATCACATTATAAGAATGACTGATGCTAAGAATCTCCGAGTTAATATCAAGACTTTCATTTCCCTTGATTGTTTCTATGGCAGTGTAATTATAATTCAGATCAAATAAAAGTTTGGAGATCACTGAAATCATCTAAATATTCGGCATTCCTCAAAAATGCCTCTGACCTATGCCTAAAATAGGTCTCCTCTAATTCTAAGAAACAGAATGACAACTAAAAACCATTTTGTCTTTCAAGCACAGGCCTTCTCAACTTTTGTCTCAATGCTTTATAAAATAAGCAGGTAACTGCATCTACAATGGAAGCCAGGTAGAGCCTCACCTACTGCCTGTCCTACAGTCATGTGACTAAAATGAAAGCTAATTAAACGCAGACATACCATCACACAGTGATGAGGGCTTCAGGAAATGTCATGCCTCACCTGTTGTAATTTTACTACTGGGACTGGATGTCCCATGTAAATGGGAGACTCAGGTTGGATGATGTTGTGTGACCTTGACATCACCGGACTCAGGTTAAGTGGGGGATGACCCTGAAGTGGAGGGTCTGCAGAAGGTAGTGTGGTCGACTTCGGATTGACCAAGGCTGCAGGGCTGACGAGAAGCTGAGCTGTCGATCCAAGGCCAGGCAAGCCGAAATTCACAGGTCCTGTGTTTGGGAGAGCACCAGGAGCAGAAGAAAGTGGCCCGGGCATTGCGGAAGAATAGAGAACAGGAAAAGGGCCCAGCGTTGGAGATGGCAAGACCATGCAAGGAACACTGAAGGATGGCAGCTGACCTGAAGATGGTCCTGCAGGATGGGGGGCTTGACTGCCAGGTAAGAGCACACTGAAACCATTTAACCCTGAAACAGAAGCAGAACAAGGTGGAAATCATCAGAATGTGAGGAAAGCACTGGCACTCATAACTCCATGGCCCTTTCAAGCAGGAGTCCACAGTAAATCAGTGACTGGTGAAGCCTAACCCCACCTGAACAGCCCCATATTCTCCTTTACAGCAGTGGCCAAGGTGCTAAGCCCACACTTACCTGTGTGAGCACGTGGCCAATGCCTGCGAAAGGTTCTCACTAGGAGTTCCACTGAACCCAAATTGAGGAGGAACATGAAACTCGGATGGGAAAAATTACATTTTTACTTTTATAAATTTCTAACTAAAAGTTTCTGTTTCCCTCAATTATAATCACAGGCAACAAATCACAACAGTGTTATAGCACCTTGCCTTTGTCACCAGTAAAAAGTACAGATATGTTCATATTACATTAGTTATTGCAAATTTCTTAATATACTGTTAAAGTCATCACAACTTTGAAATTATCAGTATTGAACTTGCTGCCAGATCTTTTTATTACTCTAAATAATCTTAAAAATTGTTTTTCTAATTGTATTTCAATGTAATTGCCTTCCTTTGTAATCCTACATATTGAATTCTATGCATTTGTAAACATTCTGTGGAGCTATCCACAGACTTTTTAACAGACTGTCCAAAGATCCACAGCACAGAAAAAGTTAAAGATCCCTGTGTTGGGGCCGGCCCCCGTGGCTCACTTGGGAGAGTACGGTGCAGGGAGCGCAGTGGTGCAGGGAGCGCCGAGGCCATGGGTTCGGATCCTCTATGGGGATGGCCAGTGCGCTCACTGGCTGAGCATGGTGGGTGCGACACCAAGCCAAGGGTTGCAATCCCCTTACCAGTCACAACAAACAAACAAACAAACAAACAAACAAACACACACAAAAAGATCCCTGTGTTGGGCTGTGATTTGGCGACACCAAGCCAAGGGTTGCAATCCCCTTACCAGTCACAACAAACAAACAAACAAACAAACAAACACACACAAAAAGATCCCTGTGTTGGGCTGTGATTTTCATTCAGCAGAAGCTGAGTCTGTTTTTTTTCACATCAGTGTATCCTTGACACTAAGGATTGTGCTTACAATAAACACTCAAAAAATATTTGCTAAAGGAATAAACAATGTTTTCTAGATTAGTGAATAATAATGAACATGTATCTAATCTGTTCTGGTAGGTTAGTTTTAAGCCAACAAGGAATTGAGGAAAATTGATTTAAATATCTTTGCATCAAGAGCAGCTTTATGTACACAATGCATACCTTAAAAATTAGGTATCTATTGTATTTCAGCTTTGATTCAAAATAGTAACAGTCAGCATTTATTGAATCTTGCTACTTGCCAGCCATTATTATTCTAAGTGCTTTAGATGTATTATCTTATTAAATTTAATTCAATTATCACAGCACCCCTGTGAAGCAGTTGTTATTATTATTGCTGTTTTACCAATGAGGATGGCTGAATACTTGTCTTAAGTATGCACAGGTAATAGGTGGTTTTAAACATCAAGCTCTCTTACTCCAGATCTGGTACTTGACTACAATGATATACTCAGTATTTATGGATACTCGAGAGATCAGAATACTAGCTGCATACATAGCCAATAGGTTCATACTGTCATACTAAACCAATGCCGGAGTCAGCTGAACTATAAGAATAGAATCATCTTTTGAATTTTTGTGCTTTACCATCCAATAAAGTTTAATGCATTTTTTAAAAAAATCACCTGCCCTTATTATTTTCCCATTAACCCTGAAGTTGGTGAAAGTGGAAGCAGCCTCTCCCTCTATTTTACAGATGGAAAAAACGGGGGGCTGAGAGTAACATGACCCAGAGGCAATAGTCAGCAACACACAATGAACCGCTTTGGTCAGGTGCCACAGATAAAAATTTAAAAACCCAGTTTATGATCTGACTATCACAAGGGACTTTAAGATATGACAACATCCCTTACCAGCTGGAGACTGCACATAAAGATACTGCAGCAAAGAGGGCTCTTTGGTGCTTTCATTTTCTTTTGAAGGCTTTTCATTATCTGTATTTCTGGAAGGATTTTCCCATTCAGAAGAAACGAAGTAGTCTGCTGTAGCCTTTTCTGTAACCTCCTTTGCAGCAGAGACTTGGCCATTCACGTGAATGTCTTCCAGGGGCATCGATCTCCTGTTACCCACAGTCTTGGGAGAGGCAAGGTCTGTGGAGCCTGAGGGTTTCTAAGCAAAACCAAACCAGAAAGCAGAAAAGCAAGTCAAAATTCCAGTAGTAAATCTTAATAACAGCTTTCTCAAAATAGCTAACACATAAACACAAAGGCAAAACACACATCCATGTGTGTATATCAGTCATTTTAACCCTATTTAAAGGAATGGCCTGAAAAGAAGTGTCACATCATGTGCACCTGATTCAGGCTTATGATTCCTGAGTATAGAAATGATAGAGATTTTTGTAATGGAAAACTGACCATGGTGTTTTGACTGTAACATAAATTTCTGAGTTGGTAGCCAATAGTGTTGATGCTGAGTCTTTTGGGGCCTTATAAGAACTATGGGCTGGCCCAAAGCCATCTTGGTTATCTAAGACATATGCCAGCCAGTCTTTCACTTCTGATCTGCAACCCCAGGCTATACACAATATTGGAAAAATTCATTCTGGCAAGAGAGAAGAATTGAGGAGAAAGGTCTTCATAAATGGAATGATTTCCATGCAGGGTGTCCAGCTGACCCACTGCAAACTGCAGTAATGACAGTGCTTCTGCTTTCTGAGAGTTTTACTGGTCATATCTCATTAACCTCTGAATGGCTACTAAGCGGGAGATGTGGACAGCTCATATTTTTGTTCTTCTCATTTTGTAGCTGGAGAAATGGGATCACCGAGTAGTGAAGAGAACTGGCCAAGCACAGACACTGATGGCTAGCTAGACAGCACCCATGTTCCTGACTGGTGCTCAGCTGCATCCTGGATTAATATGATCATTTCAGTGATTCCAACTTGTTTAAGGAAAAAAGTATACAAAAAAAGACTAGGAGGAAATCTACATACATGTTAAGATACAAACACACAGACTGCCTCTAAGTAGTGGGTAAGTTTTTTTCTACTTTATGCTTTTTTTTTTTTTCCTTTTTGTCTTTTTTACTGATCGGCAAAGGGATCGCAACCCTCGGTGTTGCGCCCGCACCACGCTCAGCCAGTGAGCGGGAACTCCTTTTTGTCTTTTTTACTGATCGGCAAAGGGATCGCAACCCTCGGTGTTGCGCCCGCACCACGCTCAGCCAGTGAGTGGGAACCGGTCTCCACATGGGATCCGAACCCTCGGCGGGAGCGCCGCCGCACTCCCAAGTGGCGCACTCTCCAGTGCGCCACCGGGCCGGCCCTCTACTTTATGCTTTTTAGCATTTTATACAGAGCGACTTTTATAAAAACCACTCTTCTTTTAATACTATTTTATGGAAAGATTTTTGGGAGAACCAGTCCAGTGGGCAGCAAGGGACACATGAAATATTCTCATATTCTAGACTCCGTTGCTTATTAATATTTGCATGTCTTCATTAGGAAGCAGCTCAGGGTTAATGAATGTCATCAGACACATCCACCTGCACTCGCTTACCTTGGGCATGACGAGGGACAGGGGGCTGTCATCATATTCCCTACTCTGTCTTTTAGTGGCCGGCTCATCCTCCTCCTGAGGCTTCCTCTCCTCACAGAGGCGCTTCTGGGCTGAGGATGTGGACGATAGCTCTGCTGTGGCTGGGACTTCTGAGCTTCTGCCCTCCCTCCCTGACCCTAACCCTGACCCTGGGGACGGTCCGTCCTGCAAGCTCCCATACAGCATGAACAGGGAGGTGGAGGGCACGTACACCAAGGGCTGGCCGGCAAGCAGAGGTGGCTTTAGGTTCTCCCCGTCAGAGGCTGCAGAAGGGAGCGAGACACCTATTTGTCCATTCAGACCATTCTGCACAGATGATGTCTGCAAGTCCGTTTGAGCAACAGAAAATACTTGGTGAGCTAAAGGATTAACACAATATTCTGAGTCAACAGAGAAGACAGGCAAAGGAGCAGCAGGGTCCAAGCTGCTCACTGGAGGCACCACTTTCTTACTGGCAAAGGCTTTTCCCCTGAAGTAAAGAGAAACATAATGAGTACCATCAAGCTACCATATTCTACCAACTCCTCGCTTCTGGCTTTCCTAAAGAGAGCCCCACCAAGTCAGCAGAGAGACACCACTGCTCAGCCTGATATTTAGGTGCACTCCCTGAGCACATATTAGCTAACGTCAGAGGCGGATGACCAGGTATAACCTGGGTGGATGGTTAGGGATGGGGTGGGGAGCTGATGTGGGAAGAGCTGTCAGGGGCTCCCAGGTGAGAGCTGACACTAGTTTCTCCTCCATCTCGTTCACATCTAATAGTTATCAATTACTGACACTTACTCCCTTACCAGCATTTAGATACTAATATGATTAGTGAAATGTTGTAATTTAATAAAATTATTATAATAATAGCTACTCTTCTTTCCTTCCAGTTTACTAATGAGGAAGACTGAAGCTCGGAGTTTAATCAACCTGCCAAAGAGGATTCAGCTCTAAACGTGAAGCTGAGTCTCACACCCACGTCTGTTTGGTGGCAGAACCCATGTTCTCACTCACTGTGAGAGATGCTGGGTGCATAAGAGAGACTGGACCAGACTTTGACTTAAAGAAAAACTAATCTAGCTTGTCTAAAATCCAGAGTGAAATAAAATGTGCAGTGAGTGGGAAAACAAACTTATCTACTAAATTATTATTTTCTGTCATTCTTGTCCTATTCTGCTCAGTATTACTAAAGAATTTTTAGGCAGCACACATTCAAAATTAAGTCCCATGAGATTATAAACAATGCCTGGGCCTTTTACAAGTATATAGAAAAATTTCCAAGTATTCAAAACATATTTATGTTTTCAGAAATAGATGAGGAAAATCCTTTAAGAAATGGAAAACAGAGGACAGGGATTTCTTTTAGCCTTTTTGATGGGACCTCCTGAGACCTACTTTGCCTACCAACCTGTTGTCTGTGATGCCGTGGGGAATAAAATGGAGTGGCCTGGGCTGCAGAAATGAGAACATGTCTCAGTGTCAGCCCCCTGTGAACATGTCATCCATTACTCAGCTCTGCGGTACTCAATTCACCCACACTGAGTACATAACCCACCTCCAACCTCTCCATCTCCACCAAGAAAGTCGCTATCATCTGACAGTCAGATGTGCTTCTTGATGCTTCTGTCCACTTTGGCAAGTCTTCCTGACTCACTGTCTCTCACTGATTTCCCTTTCTTTCCGTCTCCCACTGGTATGGCTCAGATCTGCCCCACAGCAGACCAGAATGACAGCAAGTGCTGTTCTGTGATCTGCTCATCTGGAACCCTTCTACACTTTCCAACCAACCTGCTTAAAGAAGCCAGAATGATCTTCTCAGTGAACTTTAAATAGCTCTTTACTGTCTGATGAATCCAAACTTTTCTACCTGGCTCTCTACCTGGCTCTCAAAGCATTTTGCCAACTTGACCTACTTACCTCCAACACCTAATCTTTTCTTATAAATGGTATTTCTTTTACTATCCTATTTGGACAAATATCTGCTCATCTGGAACCCTTCTACACTTCCCAACCAACCTGCTTAAAGAAGCCAGAATGATCTTCTCAGTGAACTTTAAATAGCTCTTTACTGTCTGATGAATCCAAACTTTTCTACCTGGCTCTCAAAGCATTTTGCCAACTTGACCTACTGACCTCCAACACCTAATCTTTTCTTATAAATGGTATTTCTTTTACTATCCTATTTGGACAAATCATTACAGAGACACTGATCAGCTTTTTGTCCTTCTGCTCCATGACCTGGCCTCACAACCTGTTTCTTCCTATAAATGTCATTAAAAACCTCTCGTTTCTTCCTCAGCATTTCTTCTGCTTCCCCAGATAATACATGATTTCCTTGAAAATCAGACCCAAAATTTAAGTCAGATGGCCTGGGTTGGAATCCTAGCTCTGTCACTTATTAGCAATGTGACCTTGGGCAAGCTACTTAACTTCTTTGGGTTTCAGTATCCTCTGTAAAATAACAGTACTAACCGTTGGATAACAGTACCAACCTCAAAAGACTGTTGTTATGATCAGATGGGTTCACATGCATTAAAGCTCTTGGAATAGTCAGTACACAAAGTTAGCTGTGATGATGACAAAGTGACTCAAAGGAATATGATGCATCATTTCTAAGTGTCATGTTAGCAGTAAATTGTCTTTTTTCAGTGTAATTGTCTTTTTATTTTGTTCCCTATAAACTATCATAGCTTATGTGATAAATTATTCACTCTTTTGTGTTCCTGATGCTATTTCCTGCACAGTGTTGGGCACAAAGGGGAAACATACCAATTCTTAACAAACAAATGTCTTAAATTTTATCTTTCGATGTGTGGCATTTCGATTTAGTAAAAGTTAACACTAAGAAACAGAAAAAAATATATACTCTGAGTTTTTAAAGACCACTTACTGTGAATTATTTTCTACTTTCTGTCTATAGACAGCTGCCAGACTTCCAATGTCTAAGGAGTAGCTCCCTGATTCTGAAAAGGAAAATGATTGGTTTAACAAATATAGTAAGAGACTTATAAACAACAGTTACATAGAGCAGAATTCATTAGTCACAGCTCAGGGATTATAAGACTATCTCAAATCCCTTCTGGTTTTGATTTGGAGAGAAGTTTCCAGCAACTAGCTGTTAATGATGAATTCAGGTCTCATCAAGAATTAGTAACAAAACAGAAGAAAACAAAACAAAACAAAGTCTGATAAATTTCTGAGACATATCAAACAGGCCAATCATGGCAAACCAATTGATCTTCACAGCTGACCAGTATCAATTTTAGGCATGGCCGGTGCTCATACACTGTGAAGTCAACATCTCCTTTGCCCACAAATTGTTCCACTTCAGGCTAGCGAATAGGACACTTCCAGAAAACACAGGTAGGGTGTAGGGTGTCAGCTCATTTTAAAATGCTAGCACACAGGTCAGGCTACGACAGCATGGCAACTGACAGACTCCAAAGCCTAAACGAGGGCAGATACCTTGCTCTTCTCTGTACGGGCTGCTGGGTTCCGAGTTCACTTTCCTCTGGACCTTCTCAGGAGCATGAACGATGTTAAAAGAACCATGACGAGCCAGCCTCTGTTTTGCACAGACTGGAATCTGGCCATATGCTTCTCTTTTCAATTCTGGTAAGACAGATGCAGAAACATCCACTAGTTCTTCATCTAAATAAATGAGAGAGTTGGTAGGGTTGTTATACAGCTATAATTCAGGATAATTTTAGTCTTTTTAAGAGACAGCTTTGAACCTATAATTGTAATGGAGCTTCCTTATAAGTAAAAAACTAAGACAATCAAAGGAATTTTACAAGCCATATCTCAAACCGCAATTTCTTTCTACGTACTCATTTTTCTTTAAAGTTAGGATTGTTTTCCATAGTTGTTAGGATTGGATTCCATACACTCAGGAAGCTAGAGGGAAAAGACTAGTCAAGTAGAGACACCAAAAATATAAAACCCGAAATCAAACTTCTAGAGATATAAACTACAACATTAGAGATACAGGGTATGGAATTAATGGCAGATTAGATATTGTGGAAAAACACTGTGAACTTGAAGACATAGCAATAGAAACTGTCCAAAATGAAACAAAGAGAGAAGAAAGACTACAAGAAATGAACAAAGCATCACTGAACTGTGGGACAACTTCACGCAGCCAAATGTAAGTATAACTGGAAACTCCAAAGGATGGAAGATGAGGGGACAGAAAAATATTTAAAGACATAATGGCTGAAAATTTGCCAAATGGGATAGAAACTTTAAATCCAGAGATCCAAGAAGCTCTACAAACCTAACTACAAGAAACATGAAGAAAAGAATACCAAGTCATACGGCATCAGATTGCTTAAAACCAGTCTTAGAGATAAACTTAAAAGCAACCAGGGATAAACAACGCATAACACATCCAGGACAGGCCTTTGGATTTCTTGTCAAAAACAACGCACACTAGAAGACAGTGGAGCAACTTCTTTAAAGTACTGAAAAAGAAGCCTTTCAAACTAGAATTCTTTACCCAAAAGGGAAAATAAAAATATTTTGAATTGGAAGATAATGAAAACACTCATCAAAATGTGTAGGATATAGCTAAAGCAGTACTGAGAGGAAAATTTTCTAGTAGTACTAAATGTCTATTAGAAAAGAAGGTCTCAAATTAATAACTCCAATGTCTATTTTAAGAAACTAGAATAAGAACACATTGAACTCAAAGTAGAAGAAAAACACTTATAAAGAGATAACTTAAATAATCCTACAGCTATTAAAGAAATTGTAAACTGTAGTTAAAACCCTTCTTACATAGAAAACTCCAGACCCAGATGGCTTCACTGATGAATTCATCCAAACAGTTAAGGAAAAAATAATACCAGTTCTTTAAATAATCCTACAGCTATTAAAGAAATTGTAAACTGTAGTTAAAACCCTTCTTACATAGAAAACTCCGGACCCAGATGGCTTCACTGATGAATTCATCCAAACAGTTAAGGAAAAAATAATACCAGTTCTAAACAAACTCTTCCAGAAAATTGAAGAGGAGCAATTACTTCTCTACTCATTCTAAGAAGCTGGTTTTACCATGCTACCAAATAGACAAACAGATCAATGAAACAGTTCGGAGAGTCCAGAAATAGCACCATACGTAGATGGTCAATTTATTGTCAATAAGGATGCAAAGGAAATTTAGTAGAGAGAGGATGGTCTTTTCAACAAATGGTGCTGGCACAACTGGATATCCACATCTAAAAACACCAAAAACAAAAAGCACCCATCAATCCATACCTCATGCCATATTTGTGACTTTGTATTAGGCAAAAGTTTCTTAGATACAAACCAAAAGCATGACCCACTAAAGAAAAAAGTTAATAAACTGGACTTCCTCAAAATTAAGACCTTTTCATTTCCCAAAGGCACTGTTAAGAAAATGAAAAGACAAAGCCACAGACTGAGGAAATATTTGAAAGTCACATATCTAATATGGGATTTGTATGCAAAATGTATACAGAACTCTCACAATTCAATAATAAGAAAGCAAACAACCAAATAGCAACAAAAAAGGGAAAAAACCTGAACAGATGCTTCAGCAAGGAAGATACATGAATGGCAAAATAAGGACATGAACAAGATGCTCAACATCATTAAGCTCTAGGGAAATGAAATTAAAACAAAATGAGACACCATTATACACCTATTAGAATGACTGAAATTTAGAAAGACTAACCATATCAAGTTTTGTCAAGGATATAGTTGAACTAGAACTCTCACATACAGACGGAGGGAATGTAAAATGTAAAATGTAAAACATAACTACTTTGGAAAATAGTTTGGAAGTGTCTCAGAAATTTAAAACATCCACATACCATATGATAAGGCTATTCAATTCCTAGGTATTTACCCAAGAGAAATGAAAGCATATGTCCATACAAAGAAATGTACATGAATATTCATAGCAGCTTTATTTATAATAGCACCAAACTGGAAACAACCCCCAAATCCATCAACAGGTGAAAGGATAAAGTTTGATAATTGTATACCCATACAATGGAATACTCTTCATCAATAAGGAGGAATAATCTATTGATACTCACTACAACATGAATAAATCTCAAAGTAATTATGCTGAGAGAAAGAAACCTGACAGAGTACAACACTATGGTTGATTCATAGTAGTTATGTTCTACAAAATCACTGCAAACACTAAATTAGCAAACACTAAACCATTGCTCCTAGGGGACATACAGGGTCAGGTTCCTGTGAGACTCTGGTCACAATTTCGTTAGCTGATAAATACATAAACTTGTTATTCTGTTTCTTTTTATTAGAGACATATTATTCAACATACATTGTTGATTCATTAACACTGAACTCATGGCCAACAGCACTATAACCCACACCTGAACAAAGCTTATCTAACACATGTATTTTCTCCTTAAGGCACATCACAGCTTTCTCGTGCTTAGAAACACTAGGTAGCAATACTTGGGAGACATTTCAAATAGCAAAATCACCATCAAAAAGCACAAAAATGTGAAAACATGGCACCAAAAAGACCGCAAAAAGGACACTTGTTTATGGCAGGACAACAGAAACAAGAAGGTAGAGGGTCACCTTGTTCTATCTCATCAGGCAACTTGAATTTTTCACCACTCCATGCATGTCCTCAAATGAACGTGAAAATGCCACCAGTACTGATTTTGGAGTTACAAATAAATTTTAGTGAGTAGATAGATTTGCAAATATGGAATCTGTGAATAATGAGGATTGAGTATATAAGATTCACTTATTAAAAATTCTAGAAAACCCAAATAAATCTAGAGTGACAGAAAGCTGATCAGTAGTTGCCTGGGGATGGGAGGGCGGGCCAGGAGGGAGGAATTCTGAAAGGGCAGGAGGAGACTTCTAAGGGGGACAGATATGTCCATTATTGTGATTGTGCTGATTATCTCACAGGTGCGTACACATGCAAAAACTTTTCAAATTGTAAATTTAACGTTTTGCCTTTTACTGTATGTCAACAATGCTTCAATAACGCTGTTAAGAAGAAGAAAACACCCATGTAAAATAGACTGTGCCATGTTGGTGGGAAAGGAGAGAGACGTTTGTGAAATTTAACTGAAAGGAATTGCTACTCAAGGAGTGAGAGAGAGTGAACCAAGGAATCAAAGGTGACTTGATGTTCCAAACTTGGTTGCCAGCTGGGTGGATGATGATGTTATCAATAATGGATCCAGGGAATACAGAAAGAGGATGAGGTTTCTGAAGAGGAGAGAAAGTAAGCTCAATTTGAGGTTTCTGACCTGGCTCCAAACTCTTTCCCATGTCAGATCGCAGCATTCTCCCAGTTGTGGTCCCACTGGTTATGCACATACACAAACTCCTCGCCTTCCCAATGCCAGTTCATCTCCCCAGCTATCTTATTTTCTTCAATGAGACCACCACCTTTGAGTCCTTCTCTTTTAATATCTGTCCAAAGACTCTTTGTCACTTATGCCTATTATATGTAGCCCAGATTTCTTGGCTCGGCTTCAGAGGCCTTCCAAAAATGTGGTCCCAACTGATCACATTTCATCTCACTAGTCTCCATCCTATGCTCTCTACTTAAATCAGGGTGGCTGATCTGTCCAGAATAGGCCAGATTTGTCCTTATGTATGCTTTCCTTCATCTCTCCCAAACCTAAGTCCATTGGAACTTAGCCTGCATCCTCTCTGAATTCCCACAGAGCTAGTACCACCCTCCTGGTTGCTGTATAGCTCTCTAACTTTCAAACGCGTGCTAACTATACACCTTCAACAGAAGTTCATTAACCAACTCAAGTGAGTATGGCACTGCTGTGAGTCCTATGGTATAATCACATCTGAATACAGATGATGTCTGGCCTCAAATGTGTAGGCGAGGGGTGACACCACAATACCACTTCACCAAGTGCAACAGCACAATATAAATTGCAGTCCTTCCTATAAGACACTCTTTGCTCTGGGTGATCGGGGAAAACTTCACAGAGGAGCTAACATTTGAGGCAGATCTTGAAGGTTGAATAGAGCATTTTTAATGTCAAAAAAGAGAAGAGGCTTCACAGCTGAAAAGAAGAGAAGCCAAAGGCACAGAAGCAGAAAATGGTAAAGCTGTACACTGAGTGCAGGCAGGGACTATGTCACACACATCTTAAATCTCCTATGGCATTTGGTATAGAAACCAGCACACAGTCCATACTCCGTAAGTACTTGCTGGGTTGAATTAGTTACACTTGATTTTCAAGTGGTTTCATCTAGATCCTTAGTGTTACAATGTGTTACAAGTGAGGCAGAGAGCTATATCTTTTATAAGCCTGGGTTAAGTGGCTTAAATTTATACCACTAACACCAAAATTGAAAGGGTAATTTAAAAATAACTTTAATGGCTTTTCCCAGGCAGCACAGCTATATGTAAAGTAGCTGGTGCAGTAAGATCTGGTCCCTGATTGCTCAGATATTATCTGTGAAATAAGTATAAGATAATACTCGCTACAGTCAGTAAAATCATGACATTTGCACCAAAAAAGTGTTCATTACATCCAAACTGTATTTAGAACCAGTCTTACCACATATTAGTTTTGTGAAGGTAACTGATGTAATTTTTACATTATCCAAATTTCAAAGAAAAATAGTGTTTTATTCTGCTAATATAGAAACAATTAGAGTTCAAAAGGACTGTGATTTTTAATTCTCAGACCCAAACTTCCAGGAAAAAGCCTTGGAACAAAATAAAAAATTCTAAAGAGCCGTAATGTAATAGTTACATTAATTGCCACGTTATAAGCTTTCAGTATTTCCCTTCCTACTATATGTGAGCCAACCAGCACATACCATTTGTAGGCTAATGCTCACTGATCCAAGAGTGAAGTCACTAGTCTAATTTTGTATGTGATGTGGGTTATGGGAAAAGAAGACAATTCTCCTTGTGTAGTAGATGTATGGTTTGGAATCAGAACTGGGAATTATAAATAAAACAGGTCCCCAGCAAAACCATGCCACCTTACCATTGGAGCTGAAGTCCACAGGCCCGATCCACTTAAAGGCTGGTTTACGGCCTCGCTCTTCTGTTACATGCACTTTCTTTATCAGAGCCAAGCTGGTCAGAACATTGGCTATGTCATACAGGCGTCGTACCTTTGCTTGAAGATATAAAACACAATTATGGTCATGCCTTCTGTGACACCATTACATTTTAATTTACATGACAGGTAAGTTTTCTTGGACACCATATAAACCCCAAATGGAAGGCAGTGGGGTACAATGGGGAGACCAATGGCACTGTCATGAAATCAGCCAGGATTTATGTATCTGAAGGCATCCTAAAGGAAGGTCAGTCTGTCCTTCCATTTCCACAACTTCACACCTCTTATAAGAGGCACCTGGAGACGAGCAGAGAGCATTGTGATTTCAAAACCACCCAGGGAGGAAACTAGCTTTAATTAAAGGCTTAGTAAATGTAATTCTGATGTGTGGCATGTCAAGACCCTGTCCTGAGTTTCTCCCAGCAGGATATTGTAGCACCAGCTCTGCCAGGCAGCTGGACTGTGAAAATGACAGGGATTCCCCAGAGCTTCCTGCCAGGCTGCACACCTGGGCACAGGATGCCCAGGACTCAAGGTCATGCACGAGGTACAACTGTGCTAAAGATAGGCACCTCCTCACCTGAAATCCTGGCGTTCTGGCCACCCAGTGGGGGAGGGCTGGGATGGGCATTCTCTGAATCTTAAGAAGTTTTGGGAGAGACATTTGAAAATGCATGTACTAGAAAAAAACCCAGAACGGGCAATAACACATTAAACGGGCAGGATGATGACCACAAAGTTATTTTCTGCTCAAGAAATTGATTCACGGGCAGGAAACTCCCTTGACCTCAGGGCTCAGATCAAGCAAAAGAGTTTTGATTATCATCCAGAAACATCAAGCATTCACCCCCTGATGCAGCTTTCTTCCCTGACAGGGCTGGATTTTTATCTGGCCTTTTTACCCACAGGGTGGCTAAACTTCCAACTGGAAACAAAAAAACCTAGAGAATGTTGAGCTCATGGCTTTCCAGGGCTTGAAAAGGCTAATGGCAGCCCAGGGCATTTGGCTCAGGATCCCAGCTCGACACAGAAGGAAGATGTATGGAGCGTGAAACTCGGAAACTCTCTCCCTGTCCAGCAGCCATGCCCACCACCCCTCCCCTGGCCATTCCTCTGGTTCTTACCTGCAGATAACTTTCATCTCCACCCTTCAGAAGAGTATGCAGGGGGAGGGGGAAAAAAGGGGAAAGAAAACTCAGACATTCTGTCTTGTATGCAGCGATACTAACAAGAAACGCAAAGTAATTCACACTGTCCCTGACTGGTGTTCATGGATGGCATTCTGCTTCTGTTCACTGTAACCGCTGAGAAAAAGGCATCTGACAGGACTTTAATGGGAATTCTAGCATGTGACTAAGTTACCTCTCACAGGACTAAGAACCTTTGTGAGTGCAGGAAGGAGCACATTTATCAAAAAAAAAAACAAAAAAAACCCCCACAAGGGTACTTCAAAAAGTTCCCGGAAAAACAGAACTGAAAGATAATACAAATCTTTCTTACCTCTCACAGGACTAAGAACCTTTGTGAGTGCAGGAAGGAGCACATTTATCAAAAAAAAACCAAAAAAAAACCCCACAAGGGTACTTCAAAAAGTTCCCGGAAAAACAGAACTGAAAGATAATACAAATCTTTCCATGAATTTTTTGAAGACCCCGTGTGTGTGTGTGTGTGTATATATATATATATATTTTATGTCAGAGGCAGAAAATAGCAACATATGAAATCCCACCCTTTTTTGTGCTTATAAGTGCAAATTTAGGTGAAGATTCTTACTTTTAAATTTACTGTGGTCTGGGGTATCTTGGCTCTCTTCTATTAGTATTTTGGCAGCCACATCCAGAGTAACAATCTTGGTTTTGGAGACGAGGAACAGCATGACAAACTTCTGGCTCATAATTCTCAGAGACTTGTCTTTTCTACTGTTTGCAGATGCTACAAAGAAAATGAAACAAAAGCCTCAAAACATTTGACTTACCAAAAGAAAAACTATCTAATTACCAGCAGATGCAAAGATCACCCTTGTAGGCAGAAGCCTATTGGACACACATCTCAAAAGTCATCTCAAAAGAAATGAGACAAATTTTCTTGTGGCTTGCAAAACTACTCTATAGTAGGCATAAACTCTGAAATGCCTATTTTAAATTGCTCTTAACACTTTATTCTTATATTCATATAATAGATTCCATGTGGTAGTTTTCCTGAAGCAACTTTTTGGAAAGATTAATGTAGAAGGATAAAAAAGGAAGGGTAGGGATCAGGAATTGTTTTTGGAACATCAACTCTTCTCTCAGAGGCAAGAACTTTGTTTTTATTTGTCTGTGCCCACAATATCTAGAATATACAGTAACAATAGGAGGTACCCACCTCTTCCATTTCTTTCTAGAGACAGGTGACTGACTATACATAAATAGGAGACCAATTGGATGTGTGCTCCTGTGGATGGCAGGCAAAGCATCCCCGACAGATGGCTGTCTTCTCTGGTTATTAGGACAAGCACTGGCTTATGGGGTGGAACTAAAAGCCATGAGGCAGTGAATCTACTGCAAACCAGGCCCCCTCTCTATCCACTTCTATTTCTTATATTTACAAGTATTTTCTCATCTTAGCAACAGGGAGGAGGGTGAGAATGATGAAGATCAACAGCTAAAACAGCAAGAGGATAAATATGAGTTGTGGGGGAAGAACAATGCAGATATAAATAAAATTTCTGCACCAAAATGAAAGCAGGGGTTGTCAATCTTTCTTATCAATATTTTCTGTTCGTGGAGTCCTAAATAATGTATTCCAACATCTGATTAAACAAAACTCTTTGAAAAGATAACTTCTTCAAAGTAAATTTTACTTAGTTTCACAAAAAGCAAACAGCATGGGGCTGTCAATCTAAAGCCAGAGCACTGTTGGTGATCTATGGTGCAAACGTGCCAAATGCCAAGTGAACTGCCACTAGACAGGTTTAAGTGGGGTTGGTGGGCAGCGCAGTTGGGGAGCCATCTGTCCCCCGTTCCTCAGTAGACAGAGTAAGAAAACATCTCCCTCCAGGTTTGTCAATCTGGCTCTACCCATCTCAGCAGTGAATCTCTTCAGAAGAGACCATCACACTCACTCTCTGCCATCACTCATGAGGTTACAATGGACTCACAAGAGGGACAGTCGGGCTCAGAGAAATCCAAGAGCTGTTGATCTTGGGAATCTGGATAGCCATTTTTACGTTCTCCAAATTTGTAATCCATCAGGTCCAGCTCTTTCTGTTGGAGGTATGCCATCTGCTCTTCATATTTCTGCTCCTCTCCTAGTCTCTGGAGGTTCCTCAGGGTTTTTGGCAGGCTGTGCCGGCCATGCCAGCCATACTGATTCTTGGCCACCCGGCTGACCAGATGCAGTGACTCTAACACATTTACAATGTCATAGATGCGTCTCCTTTCAACACCTGTTTGAAAAACAGAAGCCAACAGACATCATGCCGATGAACATTTTTGAGTATAAATTCCTTGAGGGCCTGGACCATGTCTATGAACTAGTTTGTACGATGCCCAGTAGGTGTGGATGCTCAGTAAGTTCAACCTGTAAGGATGTAAACAACAGAAATCATTTCTCTTTTTTCTTCTTAGGATCCAACCCTTAAAAAAGTGTGGGGTAAAACATTCATCTAGAGATCTCCATCTCTACGGCATAAACAGTATAGTACCTGTTCTTTAGACCTCATAGGCACACCACACAAACATTCCAGCATGTTAAAATTGGTGGTATTGAGGAATACATGTAATAGAATGCCAAATGGACATTTGATGAATGGATGGTTGATCTTGACTTCTATTGCTAATTATGTGGACTATTAAATAAACTGTGTTCAATAACTGATGCTTCATTATTGGACAATACTATCCTCTCCTGGAGTTAAAATGATATAAAAAAATTACCTTGATACCTTTCTTAATGGCTGAGTAAAGAAAATGGATGGCAAATATTATGTTTCCTGTTCTGAACTGGAAGCTCAGGAGTCAAGGGCTTGGGTACCATTCTCCAGTTGCTGGAGGAAACTATAGCCAGGGCTGGAACAACATGGGAGTCTCCTTGTGTCCTTCATGGCCACTGACAACTCTCCCTGTGTTCTCATTCACCATATCCTGCCAGAAAGCCCAACAGTGACACACACAGACTCTAGTACAGACTGACCATGAAGCTCATCTGTTTCCTGCCCACTTTCCCAACACTTCCGAAATGGTAGGATTATAAGTTGTCATCGACTTTACCAAAAATATTTACAGTGGTTAAGCATAGGGGGCTCTGGGGTCAGACTGCCTAGATTTGAATCCCTGACCTATCCCTTACTAGTTGGGTAATCTTGGGAAGTTACTTAACCTTTCTGTGCCTTAGTATTTGTCTTGTAGGATGATGAGAATTAGATGCGACCATAAACGTAAAGGGTCTGTGTCTCTGACAGGTGTTACATTTATCTACTATTTGTATATTATTTTGCAAATACTTTTTGCACGGCATTGGAGAGAACTAAAGTCCCTGCTAACATAAGCGGTCATAGTAGAAACAGCTTTTAAAAATCTTACATCTCTCTGACTCATCCTGTTCTACAACAGGCCTTTAAGCTGCCTTTGCTCTTATCTAAGTATCCATAACAAGAGCCTCCAGGCCCAGCTACAAAGATGCCCTCTTTCCTTTTGCTTGCCAGGAACTGTTATATAATCAGGGCAGACTCAGTGAATGTAGTTATCGGCCTTTCAAAGATCTAACATGAGAAATACACCACATTACAAAGAAAACTTTGGAGTGAAGAGGAAGTTCTATCACATGCATGAAGAGGTATTTCATAGTTCATCAGAACTTTTGGGCTCAAGACCCTGACAGGCTCGTCACCCTCGGAAGCTCAGGCTTTGGTGCCAGATGCTTTCTAGAAGGTGCTGGCAGGAAGAATCAGCAGTCCCTTGTCCAGAACTGCCTGGCTCTTTATTCCAGTCTGTTTTCATATATTAACACATCCTGTTTAGAGTGTCACATTCTCTAAACCTTTCTATTAGAAATGTCATGTGAATGCAACTGAGAAATCCCAGGGCCAGCTGTATGCCTGGCTATTCTGTTATTTGGTATTTGATAACAAGCTGTTAAGTCTCCATCTAGTGGCTCCCAAGAAAGGAAAATAAAAGAAGATTCTGACCACTTGGAGAGTAAGATGATGCTTAATATGCACAATGGGTGTTTAGTAAGTGGTTTTGGCAAAAACCAATGTGGCAGCTGCTTGCTTGCTTAATCATTCACCTTCTCAATCTGGACTGAGTTTAACTGTCCACTAGCTTGTGCACTAAAAAGTTCCACTTCACAGGTCTCAAGACCTGTAGGCTGCTCTGGGAGCTTGCTCTGTTAGAAAGGTTTTCCCTGACATTCAGCCTTCTTTTTCTTTTGTATTGAGGTCGTCCTATTAATCCGAGTCATGGCATTAGTTATACAGTCAAACATTTACCAATTGTTGCCATGTTTCCCGTAGCCCCTGAAGAAACTTATCAAGAACAACTCTCAGCCCAGTAAGATAGTTTCCAAGGCTATGCTATTTTCCATTTACTTAGTCACTCCCAGTTCTTTAAATTTCTTACCCAAAATATCAATGTCAAGTCTACATGGCACCAGAATATGGGAAACGATGCAACTTGGATGCTCTGCACATCCTTGGTTAAATATGGTCTTGTAGCTTATAACCTAGGATGTGGCAGGAAGTATAGATTCAACCCCAAGAGATTGTCACCACTGAAATAGTTTCCAGAGGGCTGACCCCATGGCGCACTCGGGAGAGTGCAGTGCTGGGAGCACAGCGCCGCTCCCGCCCTGGGTTCGGATCCTATATAGGAATGGCCGGTGCGCTCACTGGCTGAGCGCGGTGCAGGCAACACCAAGCCAAGGGTTGCGATCCCCTTACCGGTCACGAAAAAGATAAAAAAAAAAAAGAAATAGTTTCCGGAAAGGGACCCCATTTTCCAACCTCACATGAAGAGACATGTCATGCCCATTTGGCTGGCTGGGTGATCATGAGGCACAGGGAAGCTGCTGTAAAAATCTCTGGAGTTCAGCAGTAGGCAGCCATAACACGGGGACCTCCAGAATGCTCTTCTGTCCTCGCTATGATGTGTAACATAGCCCTCCAACATCTACTCTTTTGTCTTCTGCAGTGGCAAGAGCTCTTGCTGGAAGTGGGTATATGAAAGAAGTGGGCTTCACGAACCCCAATGACCAACGAGAAGGACACTGGACAATCTATCATTTTACCCTTATCTTCTGTAACACTAGTGTCCAGCACCCTGTGCCTCAATTGTCTCTTCACCATGCCTCTGTCCAGCTGACTCACTTTCCCTTTCTCCTTTGAATGTCACCAGTCCTAAAACACGGTTACTTCTGGGTTCCAAAAAGCCTCCCCAACCCCAGGACTCTACTTCCTCTTCCTAGCTATAGAGGCTGACAGGACAGCTGGGGTAGGGTGGGTGGGGACATTCTAGTAAGAACTAAGTAGAAACTGTTCCACATACTAACAAAAGCTACCCGTGCCACGCACTGAGTTAGGCATGTTACTGTCATTATCACCAACTTTGCTATGTTTCTGCAAGGTAAGTGCTATAGTCCCCATGCTACGGACAAGAAAAGGTTAATAAACTTTTCAAAGTTCTTAAAGCCTGTAAATTAGAGAGCTGGGCTTCAAATCCAGCCCTGACCCAAAGCCCAGCCCATGATCTTCCCATCACAACCCACTGCCTCTTCCTCATCTCAGTTTCCAGCATCCAAAATGTTCTTCTTAGCTATCAGGTTGAATAGTTCAGATTGACAGTCATCTGCTGGGGCACATTTCTCTGGGCTATGGAAGAAACAGAACTAAGAAACAAACTAAAAATATAATCTATCATTTATTTCTTTAGTTGATTTCTTCAAAACTTTTTTCTTTTTTTCTGTATGTAAAACCTTCCTATTTTTTAAGGAGATACCCTGACACCTCCAAATCACTGTGGTTTCTGCTTACTTAATGATTGTCAAAATATGTTCATCCGGAAACCAACTGCAATCCATGTCCACTAGGGGTCTCTATTCTGAAGCATCTGAATACACCTTTCAGGCCATAAACCCCATCACACATTATACATACTCATGCCACCTGAACACATGTATTCCTCTTTGTTATAAGGTTTAGCTGTTTGAGTTATATCCAGATATGTTTCCAGATATGCTTCCAGATATGCAAGCTTGGACAGGCTTGCTGTGAACATTGTGGTATAGAGCTTCAAAACATAATGCTTTTGCTCAAATCTTACTTCATAAAAGAAATAACACCAGTTCTGAACTCCTAGAAGTATTTTTAAAAATAAAAAGCAGGATACTCCTAAATATTTTTTGAGTGTCTGAAATAAGATGAATTTAAAATATGGGATATTAATTTGTAACGTAAGTCTTATAAAAATATTGCCTCTTATAAAAACATTTTTTGAGGTTAAAAAACCTGAATTTTTGTTTGGCCCTCAGGTCTAAAGGGCTCCCTGCTACAGTGCGCCGCTTGGGAGGGCAGCGGCGCTCCCGCTGAGGGTTCAGATCCTACATACAGACCGGCCGCTCACTGGCTGAGCGAGGTGCGGGCGCAACACCGAGGGTTGCGATCCCGTTGCTGGTCCCGGTCCAGTACGGGCGCGACACTGAGGGTTGCGATCCGTTGCCGGTCACGAGAAAAGACAAAAAAGGAAAAAAAAAAATAAATAAATAAAATAAAGGGCTCCCTGAAATTCTGTGCATAATGAATTTGACAATGACAAAGGAAGTTCTGGCTGCTCCTCTGTCCTCATCCTTTGGAGGGCCCACTGTTTAGTTAGGAAACCAGTTTCCCACTGTAACTGGAGATAGGTCTCCAGATAATCAGATGATACATACCAAGACTGACCGCAACTTCATCTAGGCAGATAATCTGATGATACATACCAAGACTGACCGCAACTTCATCTAGGGAGATGGTAGTTTTCTCAGTTGACAAGGGATAACTTGGATAGCGAGCTAGAAACTTCTGGCACAGGAGTCCTAAACTTTTCTGTTTTCTGCTTGGCCTTTGCTTTTCAAATTCGTCCACAGCACTGTCCCCAACAACATCAAGCTACAGAGGGCAAACAGAAGGGAGGGGGAATATGTCACGGTTAACATCCTAATGGAGAAACTGCAATGGATGGTACTGGCAAGTGCAGGGGACATCCCAATTCATATGATCCTAGATTCTGGTTAAAATACATTTCCTAACCTAATTTCCTTAATGTTTTACCAACCGCCATCTCTGGACTGAATCTTTTTCTCCTTTGTAATTTGAAGCTGAGTTTATTGGTTAAAAGTTAAAAAAATAAAAAATGCAGTCACTTATAGGTCGCTACCACCTTGCTACTAGTGTGCCCACTGGACCTGTGGAATCAGCATCAATAAGAGCTTCGTAGAGATGTAGAATCTCAGGCCTTGTCCCAGACCTGCTGCTCCAGAATCTGCCTTTTCATAAGATTCTGGGTGATTCCTATTGACGTGAAAGTTTGAGATGAAATGGCCTGCATTGTGTTACCAAAGTGTTTTATATTTTACAATTAACCAAAGGTTGATGAAACTGAACAAGGACAGTGAAATCATATTCTCCCTTATTCTTTTTTATTGTAAGTACACTAAACTTGCACTTGTCTCATCCTTGTCTCATCAACCCACATTTGAAAAGGCTCCATTCAAGCCCCAAGAAAGTAAAAGTCTTTTCAAAGAACATATTCAAGAGAAAAGTGATAGGATTATATCAACAGGTTCAGAAAAAGCATTTGATAAATTTAGCACTCATTGATGATTTTCCAAAATACCCTTAGAAAACTAGGAAACAAGAGAGAACTTCTTCAATGGAGTGTATTCATAAAAACCCAACAGCAAACATCTGTCCTAAGGGGAAAAGACTGGAAGCAGTCCCTTAACATCAGGAAAACAATATTTTGTTCCTTGTATTGGAGATCTTCGTCAGTGCATGAAGACAAGGTAAAAAAGAAATTGAGGGACAGGAATTGGAAAAGATAAGCAAAACTTTCATTCTGCAGAAGATATGACTGTTCACATAAAAAACTCAAAAGAATCTCAAATTATTAAAAATAATAAGAGAATTTAGCAAAGTAGCTGAATATAAGATGAAATATTTAAAAAATCAGCAGCATTCCTATACAACAATAACAGAAAAAGAACTGAAAACACATCATTTACAATAGTGACAAGAATGATAAGGTTTTCAGGAAGAAACTTAGCAAAAATATATTTGCATAAAATACTAAAACAGATAGTAGAGAATACTTAAAATTCAGTGAAATATACTATTGTCACCAATAGGAGGATAGGATCCTCACTACTATTAAGAGGTCAATTCTTAAATTAATCTACAAACTCAATGCAGTTCCAAAATCCAACCTAAAGTATTTATGGAAGAACAAAGAGCTGAGAATAGCTCACATACTCTGAAGAAAAATAAGTTGAGGGTCCTGCTTTACCTGATAGCAAGGTTTATTATGGTATGATATTGGTGTAGGGATGGACAAATTGGCCAATGGACAGAATAGAGTCCAGAAACAGACACACGCATAAATAGAACTTTGACATGAGACACGGGTTGCACAGTCAACTGGGAGGAAGAGGAAGAACTCCTTCCTTAATCAAACGGTGCAGGGGCAACTGATTATAAACAAAGTTGTATTCTTGCTCACACCACACACATTCCAGACAGATTCCATATTTAAATATATAAAGCAAATTTTAAATGAAGAAAATATAGGAGACTATTTTTCTAACCTTGAGATAAAGAAGTATTTCTTTAAACAGACACAAAAAGCACTACCCTTAAAAGAAAAGATTTATACACTGGGCCATGTTAAACCTAGAACTTTTGTCCTTCAAGAAACAACACAAAGGGAAAAAGCAACCACCAAACTGAAAGAATATATACATAATACACATAATTGATAAAGGTGTAAATGACCCAATAAAAATTGGCAACAAATACAAACAGACATTGTACAGAAGGGGAAAAACAAAAAACATAGTGGCTGGTAAAGACGCAGAAAGCAGCTTAACCTCATGAGTAATCAAGGAAAAGCAAATGAATACCACAATAAGATACAAAGTGTACACCCACTAGATTGGCGGAAATTAATGTTTGACAATTTCGAGTGTCAGAGAGAATGTGATCAATAAATGTTCAGACATTACTGGTGGAGGCAAACAGTACTTCGGGAAGCCATTTGGCATTACCTTGTGAACACTTGCACATGCAATGACCTATCAATTACACTACCAGGTATATACTCTATAATAGCAGCTCTCATGTTTTTTGCTCACGGGGTCCCTTTAATTCTTTAAAACTACTGAGGACCCCACAGAGCTTTTTGTTTATGTGGGTTTTATCTATTGATATATACTGTATTAGAAATTAAAACTGAGACAGTTAATATGTTTAGTGAGAAAAGGGTCAGTGTTTTATATATTTTTTCAAATCTCTTTTTAGTGTCTGACTTAATAGAAGAGAACTGGATTCTTGTTTCGCTTTTGTATTCAATCTGTTGCAATATCCACATCATGTAGTTACTGGAAGAATTCAAGTGTACACTTGGAAGACAATGAGAGTTCAAATGGCAAATGTATTAGTATTATGAAAAAGTTTTGATCTCTTTGATCCTCTGAAAGATTCTTTGGGGACACTGAGGCCCCTGGGTCACACTTGAGAACCACTGCCCCAGGGAAACTCTTGTATATAAAGGCCAGGGGACATGAACAAGAATATCATTGCAGCATAGTTCATATTAACCCCAAACTGCAAACAACCCAAATGGCTATAAATAGGAGAATGGATAAATAAGTCGTGGTGTATATATGCAATGGAATATCACACAGCAATGAAAATGAAAGAACTACAGCTAATGCAAAAACATGAATGAATCTTGAGGATGTATGTTGATTGAAGAAAGCAAGTCCCAAACAACTCTATACTATATATAGTTTCAATTTTACAAAGCCTAAAACCCAAATCAAACCAAACCTAAGCAATACGCTATATAGGAATACACACATATGTGATGGAGTCATTTAAAAATGGCAAGAAAATGATAAATACAAATACAGGAGAGTGTTACTCTGTGGAAAGGCAGATGTAAATTAATAGTATTGCTCCGGTTTTTGGGCTGGGAGGTAGATTCATAAGTGTTAAAAGTATTGCATACAGGGTAAGTGTACTTTATATATGATCAAATAGTCTACCAAAAGGTAATAAAGAACCAATTCAAAAAAGATTTTAAAAGTCTGTTTTTAGGCCCTGGGAGGTAGATTCATAAGTGTTAAAAGTATTGCATACAGGGTAAGTGTACTTTATATATGATCAAACAGTCTACCAAAAGGTAATAAAGAACCAATTCAAAAAAGATTTTAAAAGTCTGTTTTTAGGCCACTCAAATTTTAGACATATTACTTCCTAGCAGTATTGAACATTTCCAGTGACTGATCAGTTAAAATCTCGCTATAAAGCTTGGATAGAAAACCAAAAACAGGTGGCTAACAATTTCTACTGAGTGATTTTCACTTTGCTATATTTTTGTCAAAAAAACCACAAAAGGGGCCGGCCCGGTGGCGCACTGCTACAGTGTGCCACTTGGGAGCGCGGTGGCGCTCCC